TGTCCGCCGCCGCGCCCCACGAACGCAACGCGGAACGTTCACGCGTCGCGTTAACGCCAAATAACGAACGAAACGATACTTAACTTGTTAATATCGCTTAAAAATCATATCTTCTTCTTCATCATTAATAGTATAAAACAAAGTCGTCCCGCTGTCTGTCCCTATGTATGCTTAGATCTTTAAAACTACGCAACGGATCTTGATGCGGTTTCTTTTTTACTAGATAGCGTCAATAGGAAGGTTTACATGTATAATACATTGAACCCGTGCGAAGCCGGAGCGGTTACCCTAGTAATAAATAAAAATTAATGTTGGTAAGTGCATAACTCAAGAGTGGCTGGATCAATTCGGCTTAATTTATTTTTTATATGTTCCGTGGCCCTTATCCACGCAATGTTTTAATGCTATAAAAAAATAAAAATAAAAAAACGAAGTTTGTCGGTGCAGCTAATTGTCACCATTATTCAAAGCGCGCTTACAACAAATTCTAACAGTAGTACTGTTAGAATTTGTTTTAAGCGTGTACAATAGTCACAAAAGTTATACACAAAAAATATAACGTTATTTCAATTAGTAACAGTGCGGATAGAATTAAAAAAAATGGGTAGTTTTTATAATAATCGATAGAATTCGATTTTTAACAAGAATAATTGTACGACGTCACGCCTACCTCTTATATGGCTAAAAAAAATAACGCAAATCAACCCATCAATGCTGGTAATATCAGCCCACCGATATTACTTGAAAAAAATATCACTTTTATTTAGTAGTGTGGACGAAACAGCGTCAACGTCTGCAGACGTTCTGCATTTTAAAGTAACAGAATTCAATGTTACGCGATGTTTCGCGCCTCAACGCCGCACCCAACAAACGCTTGAGTACATTTACAAACGCGCGAGGCGTTCATAACTAAAACAGTGATAGAGCAATCTTATGGAAATAGCAATATTTCTTGTAAGAACCAAACGCAACGTAATTTTTTCCTACGTGTAAGACAAAAGCATAGAACAGCCGTGGACGTGACCGAAATGATTTCGTTTGATTGGTTCAAACGTTTTGTAAACCTTATCTAAATAACACATACGTTTTGAAATATAAATTACATTCCCTTTATAAAGGCAATTGAGAATCTTTATTTATCGGCGTTCTCGTTAATAATTTAGGATGCACTTCGCTTTAATCATCATCATCATCATCATATCAGCCGTAGGACGTCCACTGCTGAACATAGGCCTCTCCCATTGACTTCCACTTCGACCGGTCGTTAGCGGCCTGCATCCAACTCGTCCCTGTGATCTTGGCTAGGTCGTCCGTCCATCTAGTCCGGGAGGCCTTCCTACGCTGCGTTTTTCCTTCCCTTTAATACTATAGCAGTATTTCAAAAAAGAAATATGAAAATAGTTCAGTGTTTAGGAATTCGTGGAGCATCGTTTACTTCGCTGCATTAGCGATAAAGCCTAAGTACTTTTGAGGACATCACGCCAAAACCAAAAATTTCATCCACACCACCTCGATGTCCAGCGTTCCACAACAGCGCGATTTTCAAGGCACTGCCTGCCTCGCACAACCACTCCGTGGAAGCAGCTGCCACCGGCGGTCTTCCAGAACCGCTGCGACCTGGGAACCTTCAAGAAGAGAGCATGCTCTTTCCTAAAAGGCCGACAACGCATTTGTGAGCCCTCGGGTGTTGCAGATGTTCATGGGCGACGGTAATCACTGGTGAGCCTCCTGCTCGTTTGTCCCATTTCTCCATAAAAAAGGCAGTTCTGTTAAATTTAAAAACATTGTAGGGCAACCCCATCACAGTCAAAGCACGTGAAACGTTGGGGCCCTAGACGCCCAGCGCAGTGGAGCGACTCCCGTGTGAAGCGTCCGCGAGATGAATTACACGCGCTTGGGTTACACCACGCACACTATCCGCTATCAGAGATACCAATTAACTTAACCGGCATTAAATTCAATTATATGCAATGAGTCATAAGTCTTTTGAGTTGAGTTTCGCTAATTAAATGCCAGATCGAGTATCGGCTGTTGAGTACACAACAATGACTGAACATAAAACTCTACTATCGCATCATAGAACAGTAAAAGGCAGTTCAATTTCGAGATATGATACACAGAGCAAGCTTTCGTCGATGGGTGCGAAACAAAAGATACTTTACTCATAAATTATAGAAGACGATACACAGAAGCAGTTACAAAAGCTCACATGACTAGTCAACTAAATTTCTCTAGTTTTTATTAATATTAATTATTAAGATATAAATATTATCCAGATATAATGATTATTACCCTGTACAATTAAACCAACAGATAGAATTAAACCCACAACTCTCAATGCATTCAATGCAATTTCGAAAATGTCAAGTCACCTTTCCCATTCCCACAGGGGATTTGTTTCAATACTAATATTACGCCATTGCAAAGCGAATTTCACTTGCGGGCCTCAATTACTCTGAGTACGAAGCTAACTAGCACAACGAACAATGAGGGGTTGGCCACTGGCAACATTAAGATATAATTAAATAGACGTAGTAATACCCTACTACGGCGTGCATCAGTTATCGCTTTTCCTCATTTAGAGATATCGCTCTATTAAGAAATATAGCTAACAATACCTACTCTAGTTATGTGCATTCGACTTTAGCGGTCCGCTAAACCGCAATACGTATAGGCCGGCGATATCTCGTTACTGGAAGCGTGGCACTGGCAGCTATGCGTCGACTAATAGTAGAATAGGAAACGCTAGGCAAAATCTAAACCGATCAATCTCTGTAATAATAGTAGCACTCCCACTATAAATAGGGAGCCAGTTAAGTGCAAAAGTGACTCTAAACAAAACCATTGTTCAAAATTATCGAATACCAAATTCTCCCCTCACTTAGACACTGTAGACCTATTGAGACTCCATTTGACCCAATAAATGTAAGCTAATAGCCGTATCAGTGCGATCATGATTAGATCCGTGTCATCAACTTTAACACGTGAAAGACGCCCCGGAACGTCCATCCGCGTGTACCGCACTCAGTCCGTTATAAATCATCTGGCGTGCCATCTGCCAAGCGATGGCAAGTGCGGCACGTGGGAGCGAGACGCAGGCCATCCAGTTAGCCCGTATAAGGATAATAAAGCATCGGAGACGCGGCCGGGTTATTTTTAGAGTTAATAAATTGGCCTCGCGTTTGCGTTTCGCACAGGCGTTGAACAGACTGCCCATTTAGCACAATTCGATTCTATGTCACCACGAAAAACAGCGTTCAACAAAACGCTCAAATCCCAGCGTATAAAAGACGCAATTTGAACTTTGTTTTACAGAAATAGCCAACTTGTAACAAAACTATCCATCACTAAATATATTATAAAACAAAGTCGTCCCGCGTCTGTCTGTACCTATGTATGCTTAGATCTTTAAAACTACGCAACGGATCTTGATGCGGTTTTTTACTAGATAGAGTGATTCAAGAGGAAGGTTAATATGTATAATACATTATACCCGTGCGAAGCCGGGGCGGGTCGCTAGTAGATTTATAAGCACAAAAGTCGTACAAACGTCTTGCCTCGAAACGAAAGTAATAGTCAGTTAACTACACATCGAATCTCACTCATCACTGTAAAACTTTATCTATTTCGTTCTCATAACTTCGAAGTGAGTGTCTAACCTAATTTTATATACGGTAGGCACCGAGTTAATTTCTAAGACAACAACGTTTTCAACGCTTTTCGTCTAACGCAAACTTTGAAAGAGTATTGACAAAATCTGCGTCCTGACAAGCTTCGAATGATTTTATTAGTGATCGAGTAACCTTTCATAAGGTTAAATTCCCGCACATACTAGTCATGTCGAGATGATAATTTATAGCAATAGAATACAGCGCCACCTAGTGTAAGCCGCGGAACAACGTCTGTCGGGCGTAATTTTTTAATATACGTCGTCTTCTTAATCAACGAACGCTACCAAGCTGCATCAGTCCATACCCAGTTACAAGTTTATACGCTACGATCGGAGTCGGGCACTTTGCATAACAAAACGCATACCGCGACATATTCCGACAGCGCGGAATGCGCCCCCCTCCCGCCAAAAGGCACAATAAAAACGCAACTTTATGTTTCCTGTGCCAGTGGCCAATTTTATTGTGGTGTCAACGCACCGGGAACATTCTGCGCTGTGCGCTTTCGAGATTGCATTAGGGAAACCTATACCAATGTTGCGATGGCCCAATATCGAAAACGAGCAACGTTTCTGTTTTATGTATTGTGGTGCAAAAGTACCGATAAAAACTGCAATTATCTAATAAAACTACAAAATTAACCAAATATTGCGGTCCCATTTGTAACAGTAAAACTACATAACATTATATTAATGCACTTTTCAACATAATTTATGAAGTAATCATTACATACAATGAAAAAACCAATATAATTTATTAAGTTTTATTGAATATAGGTATTAATTATAAGAAAAATACACCTAGGCAGTTACATGTAACTATGTATATTGCATTGAGTTTCATGCAGAGATATATTCATTATGATAATGACATTCAGGATGAATGATAAAAATTTAAATATCAGACCACACTAGACAAGTTCGCGAGCAGGGTATAAACGCGAATCAGTATTACTAGATTGGTATACATAAATATAGTAAAGAGTGGGAGTGAATAGATATAAATATACACTGGAGTTATTTTATAATAAGTAATTTAAAATAGCTGCTAAAAACAAAGTAGAAAGTATTTATAGCAACCATATCGCATTTTTTGTAAATTAAGACAAGTTCCCTGAGATTATACATTAAATTGGTTTTTTAATTTATCATCCACGCGGACCCATCGAGATGATTAAATATCAAAAGTCCCCCGTAATCCGAACGAGTTCAGCATTACCAACGGCCACTGTTTTGTGCGTTTTTAGCTGCAGGTGGGCAGATAGGTTTTAAGGTCAACTTTTTAAGGCAACGCCGCAGGTGTCGCCTTTACTATGGTAAATAGATACGGCTAGACATGATCGGTATTTAATGGGGATGTGTCGAGCACCTGCAATTCGACGTGGTGGAGACGTGGGGGCGGCGGAGGGGGCCGAGGGGTTCGCGCCGCGCTTTTAGAAAGGCGCGACCATCGCCGCAGGCCCGAGCCGCATTCTACGGCCTGTCATTCACATCGAGCTTGCCTATGCAGTGCATTCCATCCTCCAACGCACTCTCCACTCGCACTAAAACGTAACGACGACCTACCGTCTAAACATGCCTGATCACGCTTCTATTTAGACCTATAAACATTTCCAATCTTATGTCGCGTATACACATTATATCTTAACTGCCCTCATAATTAACTGCTTTCCTAACCTCATTTTATAAGAAACACAGCGAAAATATATCTTATAAGAATATTACATACAGCTTTGAAGGATAAAAATGATAACCATAATTTGTGTTTAGGTCAGTTGTTGTTAGTCAATTGTGGAATGTCGTGTGAAATCGAGACGGTTTTGCGTGTTTTCCGACAGAGTGCGGTAGCGTCGCGTCGACGGATCAGTTTGTTTTTCACAATTTATTCTATTTACGAACCTTGTTTACTATTAACGGCACTAGCACAATCTAGAAAAACACAAGCGCCAACAAACGAACGTAACACGCACAGCAAATTCAATCAGAAAACGTCAGAAATCGCATTGGAATGTGAAGTTTTGACATGGGGCTCTTGCGGGTTAACACTTCGGAAAACTTACCTGTCTCGCGGGTCGATCCACGTCGTTTTCCTACTGTTGTGGTCGATAAAATACAACTTTCCGTCAAAGTCCCTTGCGTAATCCCATCCGTCGGGCAAGGGTATCTCACCGTTTCGTCTCCTTGGCATATTTCACTGATTAAATCCATTCAAACGAATAACGAAGCACACTCGCGAACTAGCTACACGGCCATGTTGAATACCTCATTACGAGGTGTGACGTCACGCGGGATCGGCCAATGGCGGCTAAGGGCCCCCACGATGGAATGCAGCGCGTACGCGAGCGCGAACACAGTGTTCCGCGCGTCACTCTTGCCGATACGTACGATGCACGCGACCGCACCACGCGAGTCCGCGTAGCTAACTGAGCCGCGGGCACTCGTCGCCACGTTATCACCGCTCATGATAATATTCACTACCAGCAACCACCGCCTAAATGCATTCCTTCTGACCACAATGTTTACATTACATACCGTGCCCTGGCAAATGGCAAACATCCGAGCCACGGACTGCAATCCGCGGCGCGTACAACAAAACCGAGCCGACCAACAGTGGAGGCGAAATGTAGGTACCTATCCATTCAATTTATTTACGATTCCGTCCTATATATACGTTGTCGGACAGATTTGTATAGCGCGCATTCCAACGCGTATGTATGAGACATACCCACGAATTATAGACATTCAACCAACTGCATAACACTGTAAGTGTTACCGCGCTGGAACCATCGGCTTTGTGAGTCGATTTGCGTTCGTACTGGTCTAATAATAGAAGAGATACGGTCATTTTTCTAACAGACTTCAGTTTTTTAAGTGGCGATATTTTGATATCGTTGCTTTCTACCTACCATTGTAACATGAATAAATATGTTTATCACATAGGTATTACTCTGAATGTACTTAAGAAAATTTAAATTTAAGGATTAGGTTCCGTACTATAATTATTATTATATATATAATTCTACTGTACGTGTGTATGTCACAGAACTCCTAAACGGCTGGACCGATTTTAATGTAATTTTTGTGTCTTCAGGTCGATTCGAGAACGGTTTAGATTTACAATTTTTTTCTAAAATATATAGATTTATGTCGTGTATATAGGACAACGTCTGTCGGTCCGCTAGTATAATATAATACTATTAACATACATGATTCACTCGAGTTTATTTTAAGTTTCAATCTTATTCACTTTACATAAACAAATGAAGACTTCTATATACTTATTATGTTGCAGAAAGTTTATGCACACAGGCTGGTATTCAAAGTATAAACATCAGATTTACTTAAAACTAATAACCAGACCATCGTTTTCATTACTAACACTTCATTTAATTTTACTAAAGTCTATCTATAAACCAGTAGAATTACGTTTGTTTTTCAATTTACCACATAAGCATTAAGTACTCTACATTAAATGTAAATTATAAAAAAATATGCATATCAATAATATTTTTAAATTCTCTCAAGTATGCATGATACTCGATGTAAAATTATTTTTTACAAAATGATCTCACAGCTCACTACTTTGACCGGATAGGGTAGAGCGAGACAGTAATTTGACTACACCTTTCAACAATTTTATTCTGTTCCAAACGTGACTGGTGGTGAAATTTGGTGAGCTTATCGCTATAAATGTGAACCATGAGGAAAAATCGGTGACCTTTTCAGGTCACTGGAAAAGGATGCTACGCCAGCAAAATATCATGTATCAACCCTCCGATATTAGGGTACCAGGGCCTTAAATTTTTGTCTAATGCCTCATGCCACAACTAAATAAAAACCTATTAATATTATTCAACCGGATTATGGAAATTGTGCTTGTATATTATAATACAATCATATATATTGTCATAATGTTAACGTACCTATTTATAATTTTATTATATATATCATAATAACTGATACGGTAATTGATTATACAACAGTACCTCAAATTTAAATAAGTGTAATAATAATACATGCAGAAATATGCTATAAAACTTTATTTGCATTAAAAATAACTGTATTTGCATGATAAATAACGTAAATGGAATTTCCTTCAGAAATATTAATTACAAGGCAGATAAAAGTAAACGAGTAGTTCAGGGTCGAATGGAATGACGTGTAAATTTGAAATATTTTTACTCCTTATTTTGTTATAATATTTACAAATTTTTACTTTCAAATTTAGAAAGTCTGTGTATTATAAATAAACGAAACTAAAGTTTTTCAAAGCTGTACAAAATTAAGAATAATTCATTACATTTAAAATGCATCAAGAAAAACTCAAATATAGTCGTAAATACCACTCTTGACAAGTTTTTGGCCCAAAATCATGAAGTGGTTAAAGTAAATCCGATCTTTTTGCATTTTCTTTTTGCACCTAAAAATAAATTGCAAAGATCTATGATATGAAGACTTATGTTGTTAACATAACATCGTCTCTTTTTAGTGGATTCCCAGTTCCCCACGGCTGTGAGTAAGATTTGGCGTCGATTGATGAATCTGAATTCCTTAAACAAAAGCTACAAACTGTGGTCTTAATACACATTTATAGGTACTAAAGAAGCTTTACTTCATCAACATAATCAGCCGCAAGACGTCCACTGTTGAACATACTCCTCCCCCCTTAGAACGCCACAACGAACGTCACTTTGTATTTGCATCCACCGGTTGCCCGCGACACTTACGATGTCGTCGGTCCACGGAGGTCCTTCATCAGGTTGAGTCGGATCACGGATGAGTTCGAGGTTTTACTCTTTATTATTCCACTAAGTCTAAAACTTTGTTTATCTTAAATCCTTAATGTAAAGAACCAAAAGAACAGTTTTTTTGTACAGTTTTACAGGTTTTTTTATTATAAATATAATTTTATAATATAAAATTAATTAGGTAAAATAAAACTGTACAATAATTTGTACAGTATAATTTTACCTAATTAATTTTATTTTTATTCCTTTTAATTTCCTCTAAACTAATTATATCTTTTTTTAACAATAGTATTTGTCACGTTTGACGTTACGTTTTTTACCAAGGTAGAAAACTGTTTTTAGTTTTTAATGACTTCTAATGCATTGAAAGAACAATTTAGTATTGTTAATTATATTTTAAGCAAAATTTTTATCTTTTCTATCTCTGCATAAATTATTTTAAAACGCAACGTATATGACATTTACGACTATCATTTTGACATGTATATGCCAAATGGGAGGATTTGTTGGAGTTATAAAAATTTTGCAACACGTAGACATTAAAATTTTTAATTTTCTCGTAATTAGTATATACAGTAAAAAATAACCATGCCTTCAAGTGATAGTGAGGACTTTGAGAGTGCTGATGAAGGTAGAAATAGTCCGCATAAGAAAGAGAGAAAGAAGCGACTGTCTTCATCAAACTACAGTGATAATTTAGAATCAGAAGTGGATCACAGTTCAACCCAAAATGCAACATTTTCCCGATCGAAAAATGTAGTAAGTGAACGAGGCCTATGTCAGGTTTTTCTACTTCTTTTACCAAATTACCACATTATGACTATTCCTGAAAGTATCGCGGATCTTAGTTTAATGTACATCTAATGTTATAATAAAACATAAAAATTAATCTTAGAATATATTATATGCAATGTATTATAAGAACCAATATATATTATATATGTTTTTGGTGCATACCAACAGTTTTTAAGAAGTTATTTTTTGCTCATACCAAAGATGTGATGATCACATTTTTTAATTATATCCATAGTTTCCCTTTATGATAATTTTAAAAGAATTAATTTTAGCAGGGCAAGTCGGCAGATGGCTGGGATGATTTTGACATAGATGAACTGGAGACAGAAAGCTCAAAGGATGTAAAGGAAACAACATCACATTTATCTAAAACAGAATTGAGTACAATTTCTTCCGGGTCACACACAGTGAAGGAAAATATTTCTAATAAAAAGGAAACAGCTGAAAAATCACAAGACACAGGATGGAATGACTTTGATGATTGGGGAGACAGTGTTATAACAAATAATGTGAAAGAGGTTAGTAGTTAGACCAAAAATTCGGTTGAAAAAGTGTACATAGAATGTGGAAAAACTTCCTAACAAATACAATAGCATTCAATATTGATAAATTACTGTTTACTACTAGAAAACATTTTTACAATAGCATAATTAACAAAGATATATCAGTTGTTTTATATTCTTTGTATTGTTTTGTAGTCTGTGAAATTGTGTTTTGTGTATTATAAATTATGAAGGCATAAACCTTAAATAACTGGATTATTTAGTATTTATTGATTTTATGAATATAACTTTTTAATGCGGTAGGGCCAAGAATCAGTTTTTGCTGTTACAAAAATGAGTAAGACTAAAGTAACACCCTGTACATATCCCAATGTTATAAAGTCAGCACTTAAAATTAACAATTTCATTGGTGCTAGCACTGGGGATCAAACTCAGGTTGCTCAAGTACATTGAATTAAAGCTGAGCGCCCTGACACTGAGCTATTACGGCTCTTTTACAAATAAAATTTAGTATGTCTGATTAAGTACCACAACCTCACAGAAGACCAGCATGAAGTAGAAGTATAACACTTCTGTGTTTCGTCGGTTGAGTGAGGTAAACAGTTAACAGTCCCATTTTAATAAATGTGGCTACACATCCACAACCCTACGGATGTTGCAAATGTCAATGGGCAGCTTGTTTGCCACATACTCACATAAAAAAGTCTTCTATTATGTTTTAACATACATGCATAGGATTAGTATAAGAAGCTCTTAATAACTCAAAGATTTATTTAAATACTGTAAAAATATTGTAATTAGAGATAAATATTCTGGATGATAAATGTAAATAAAATTTTTTTTTCTATTTAAATCAGTATTGACAATAGTGAAAGTCTTTACGATTGTGGTATTTCAGGACCAATTTTCTAAATCACAACAAAGTAAAAATATGCAGCAACAGGATCCAAATATTAAAAATGTTACCGAACGACTTGCGGCAGCCTCAACTAAAAGTGATGCTTGGGGTTGGGGCTGGGGTGTGGACTCTATCTTGAGCACTGCCACTGCTGGTATAACCACACTGACTAATCAAGTTTCACAGGTAACCATTTCCTTCAGTTTCATGTACAAAGTGTGATGTCCAAGCCTCAATGAAGGGACAGTTATTCTCTCTTCTGGGCAGTGTGCATCAGGATATTGTTTATGGTAAAATAGCTAATAAATAATAATTGCAATTATGCTGGCACTGGGATTTAAAATCAAGTTACGTCCTAGACTTATCGCTGTGGCTGGTAACAATAGGGCCTGTTCTTTTCTCCCTAAAAAGTTTAGCATAACAATCCAGCAAAAAAAGACGGTAGTATTATAGGCCTAAGTTTGTTTAGATAGCATGTAATGTAGTTTGAATTTAATAGTGTTGTGAATTAAAAAGTAGCACCGGGGTACAGAGTAACCATTCTCAATTATTGATTATTTCAATTATTTTAGAATGTGTAGTACATTAAGTGTGTTCAGTGCTGTTATAATGTAAATTTTCTCAAAGACAATTACCACTTTTGTATAACCTACAAATCAACCATGAAAACACAAAACAAGCCACATCCAAAAATTAAATTTTTTACGTTTTAAAGAATTTAATAATTACATATTACATGCACCTATTTTTTTCTCTTTAGTATTTTTCATGCTGCAAATTTTTGTATAGCAATAAAAATAATATTTTTCTTCATAAGTTCTCATATTTTTGTATAAATATTAATGATATGTATTTTCAATAACTTATCTATCTGTAGATTTGGTTACTCGTGGATAGAATTTTGAAGTAGGTATAATGGAGTTAATGTCAAATACCTATCGCTAGTAACCAAATCTATAGATAGATAGAATATTGAAACATTCTGCTAAAAGATCTATTGTAGTCTTTATTCAAAAACATTTCCAACATTTTGTAGGACAACATTATCCTGTGTTGAAAGGACGTTTAACATACATAAATTTAACATGGACAAACACCGAGAACTGAAACTTAAATTAAAATTTAAGTTATTATTAATTAGAGACTATTTTCAAACTTCTACTCATCCATCTTGCTATTCAATTATTATTAAATTTTTCATGTAATTTACATTTAAAACCAGCCTTTGGATTTTATACAAAAATCCCATTTTGACTTTTGCACTTTTTAATAAGAAATTTAAGCCTGAAGAGCAAAGTCCGATAAAAGAAATATGTTAATTTTCATTTCTGCTCTCCCAATTCTGTTTTTAGGGTATTTCCACTGTGCTAGAAACAGGCATTGGTGCTCCAGATCCCGAAGAGTTAGCTAGAAAATCAGCAAAAGCTAGTGAAAATATACAGCAAAGACAGGAGAACCCCTCAAAAGAATCTGGTAATGAGAAAGAACCATCTAAAGACTCTAGAAGTGGGAGTGAAGGACAGTTTCAATTTGGCAGTCTCATTTCAGGAGTTACAAAATTTGTTGAAACAACAGGTAAGTTACAATGTATGGTTCGTCTACTAAAGAATAAACTTTTCCTCTTAGTGATGAAGGAAAAAATCGTAAAGAAAAAATATTTCGAAGATATGTGAAATCCGCCAATCCGCAGTGGGGTCGCTTGACGGACTATGCCCTAATACCCTCTGTACTGAGGAAGTCTCTGCCCTGCGGTGGATCATATATAGGCTGTTACTTTAAGAAGATAAATCCATACTAATATTAGAAATGCGAAAGTAACTCTGTCTGTCTGTCTGTCTGTCTGTCTCGCTTTCACGCCAAAACTACTGAACCAATTTAAATGAATTTTGGTACACAAATAGTCTAGAGCTAGAGAAAGGACTTAGGCTATTTTTATTGGAATATTTAAAAAAAAAAGATTTTATTAAGGGCTTAACGCGACCGAAGCCGCGGGCGATAACCTAGTAGTAATATATATTCACAGCAAAAGTAGTGTAATATCTAAAATGTTTAATGCTGCAATTAACTTCACTTGGTTGATAGAATGTACCACCACAGTTATGTGTGTTTCAGCTTGTTTAATTTAATTACAGGAACTAAAGTGTTAGCGGGTGGGTTGGATACACTGGAGACCATTGGTAAAAAAACAATGGAGGTGCTACAAGACGGTGACCCGGGTTTGGCTAAAAAGCGTGCCATGCTCGGCCTGGATCCAGCCGACAAGCCGGTATTGTCACAGGTCCTACGGGAGGCAAAAGCGAAAGCGGATGAGGAGGACAGAATCAGAGAACAGAAGAGAGAGGCAAAGGAGGTCCACTATGAAACTCTATTTGATGATTTTGAAGGTATTTTTGATTTTTTTTTTGCCTTTCGTTCCTGGTAAAAGATAAAAAATAATCAGGGTGTTCTTTTAATTGAGTAAAATGACCACCATGGACATTCAGATCTGTGGATATTTTTTGTGTGAGAAGCTAGCATGAGAGCAGGTGGTTCATCTGATCTTAAGTGATAATCGCCGCCCATTGACAAAGGTGCCAACCTTTTAATAAAATGTGCCCCAGCTACCTCATTCACCAGACAAAATACATAGGTAAAAATTCTTATATTAGTGGAACAGTTTAGCAATTTCCGGCGGTCTTCTGAAAGTTTCCCTCTCCATATGCAATAACCACCAATATTACCAATGGACAAGAGTACATTTGTTTGTCAACTCAAAAGAATTTGAATGAAGAAAGGAATTGAGCCGTGATAGCTCGGTTGTCCATAGACTTGCCTTTCATTAAATTTAATCGAGCAGCCCCAGTTCGATTGCCGGTGCCAGCACCAATGAAATTGTTCCAAGTGCTCAGAGGTGAAGGAAAACATCGTGAGGAAACCTGCATATTTTCAAAATAATAATATGTATATTTCGAAAAATATGTGAGGTCCGTCAATCCGCAGTGGGGTCGCGCAGGAGACTATGTCCCGATATCCTCTTTACAGAGGAGGCCTTTGCCCAGCAGTGGGACATTTATAGACTGTTACTCTACTTCACAACTCATGTTGCTAACATCTGGCTGGTTTTATTCCAGGTCTGGTGCACCTAGAGGCGTTGGAGATGCTCTCGAAACAGGTCAGCATGAGAATAGAAGAGCGCATACGTTCAGCTGATATTAGTAAGCGGCAAGACATCAAAGAGACATTGCAGCAAGTGGCTGGTATGTAGTTAAGAAAAGAAATTTTTTTTTTTCATCTCTCACCTCTTAACAGTACTTACAGTTTTGTGTTATTATATTCCAGTAAGGTTTTGCATCTGAGATATCAACCAAGAATTATATTAGATTCTTCCATTTATTTACATAGTTGGGACAATAGTTCAGTATAGAACCTATGTGACCCACAGTTAGTTATTTCAGTTCAGTATATAAGATTAATGTATATAAAACATCCTTACATACAATACAGGATAATGCTATCCTATAGTAAGATAGCAATGTTTTGGTAATGGAAAGACTACATAGATATTCCAGGTCACATTGGTTGTTAGGATGTAGATTCCGAGCCCTTCCATACAAAATAGAAATACGTAATTATTGGGGTAAATTAAATTGTGGTTTGAAACTGCATACTTGTTTGGTTTTTTTTTAATTTACACTAATACGACATAGTGACTTTTAAATAGTGTTATTTATTTCAGTAAATATGAAATAGAGTAATTTGTGTACGAATATAAATCCATTATACAGCGTGTCGTTACCACCGCGACAGTAAATGAACACACGTCTAACGCTACTTGCCAATAATCATAAAAAGATATTAACTTTAAAAAATTCAAAGAAAATTTTTTTTCTAACAAACTAATTAAGTAAAAAAGAAACAAAATTTGTAACACCCTATACAACTACAACTGACCGATTTATACATTCAGAGACTTTTTCATTCGTTGCCACAAAGTCGCATTACAAGCCTCTCCTTCTAACAGTATGTTTTGTCTCTTAAATTTATTTAACCCATTCATATGCTTTGTGACCTTTACAAATGAACTTTACGTTACAGTTTTATACGTAAGGTTGTTCTAAAATTCTTTGTTTTGGAAAATTTAATAACTCGGTAAATATTGATGTTTAAAGAATGTAAATGTTTAATACAATTTTAAAAAGTTTATATGTGTGTTCATTTATTGTCGCGATTGTAAAGACACGCTGTATATTTCTGCAAAGATAAATGTCGGTAAAACTGTTTAATATAACATTACTGAAGGATTTTTTTTTAAAAAATGATTCGTTTATTTTCTTTCGAAAAACTTAATATTGTATTTTTACGATAAAACAACGTTTCCCTTCTTGACCGAAATACCTCTTAATACCCTTGGTATTAAGAGTTAAGAGTTATTAAGAGTTACGTCACCTTGTTTGTTTCTCACTTTGTTTGCAGAGCTATGCGAGATGCCAGAAGACGAAGATGAGGACATAGAAGAAGAGCAAAGTGATCTCTCCGGGGCTGAGGCGTTGCATGAGCGTCTTCTCAACTCCACTCGCGACATCGGCCTTAAGATGCAATACCAGCCTCTAGTCAAGTGAGTCAACTTGAGTTCGCTTTCAAATTCTATCAAAACGCTTCTTAGTTAGCTTGGGATGAACGTATCTATGTAACGGAATCTTTAAACGTGTTTTTACTCATTTTATAACGTCGTATTGAATTATAACTTCGCTCACTTATCAACGACTGATGACAGTATAATAATTTATTAAATGGGTTGAAAAGCAAAAGTAAATACTAATTTAAGAAACTAAAATACACGCTTTCGTAGTTAGCTGAACTAAAAAGTAGAAAGTAATTTTCTATTTCATAAACATTTAACAATGACATCCCACGCATTTTTATGACAAAATGCTTTTTTTAATCACTATTTTTTGACTTATAGAATTTTTTTTATATACTGTTTTATCCAAGTTTTATTGTGTTTTAATTAAGTAATTTGTAACTTACAAGGTACAATAAATTAATAAAATTATTATATAATTAATTATTTAACTTACTTTTTGGTTCCTAATCAAAATTGCTATACTAACATGCAACTCTATTTAGACTGCTACAATGCTGACGAATAAAAAAAGTTAATTAATAATAAAACTAGTTGAGCATGCTAACAACCAAACCATTACCAAACCTTTACAACCCAATTGCCTTAATGGTTAGTGACCCTGCCTCTTGCGCCAGAGAGTGTGCCTTCGATCCCCACCACTGGAAAAATATTTTGTGATGAACATAGTATTTTTCCAATGTCTGGGTGTTCATGTATTTATTTACAGAAGAAAAGTATTATTAAGTATGTTTATCAGTTATCTAATACCCATAGTGCAAACATTGCTTAGTTGGGGACTGGAAAACGTTGTGTAAAAATGTGTCCCCGTGTCCTTTAATATTTTTAATATATTTCTAATTAATATTTGTAATATTTTTGCAATATTTAATTGTTGCATCCAGGCACTACGAGGAGACGCTGGCGTGGCTGAAGGGCGAGGGTGTGGCAAGTGGTGGTGGTTCGCGCGCGGTGTACAAGCGGGCGGTCTCCGCTCTGGCGCGTGCCACGGCCGTCTCGGTGGAGTTCTACCACAAGACTGCCGAGCAGCTGCTGGTCAAGGCGAGGCGCTCCACCGCCGACGAGGCCGATGCGCTAACCCAGTAATGCTCTTACAGTTTTTGTGAAACAATACAATTACAAACAATTTAAACAAGTGTGATTTTTAACAAAAAAAGAACCGACTTCAATCAGAATAAAAACATTGTTAATACCTATAGCATTCAATGATGGTCCTCGATTTCACTGGGATGCCATCGTCAGATCCGGGTTTCCTTATCACGGCACCGCCCTTGGGATATCTCCTTTCCGACAAAAAAAGAATCATCAAAATCGCTTCATAAACGACGGAAGTTATCCACGAACACACATAAAAAAAATATATATATACAGTCGAATTGAGAAACTCCCTCCTTTTTTGAAGTCGGTTAAAAAGTACAAAACCCGAATGCGTCCCTGTGTAATTTTCTATTTTGATATACCCGGTGTCACTCTCACGGTGAATACGAATCTAACGACACCTTGCAAGCTAAGATCCTTCCAGCCGTTCAGGCTGCAGAGCGTGCCAAACAATTATACATACATACTCTCGAAAAACACAACCCTCCTTCTAGCGCAGTCGGGTAGTAACCGGAGAAAAGTTTTTAAAATAAAATTATTAAAACCTGCGTGAGACGTTTACCAACGGAATAATAAAACGGCAAAAGTCACGTAGAATCTGTGTATGTTCTCTCTCACCCGGGTGTAGGAACTCCGATAGGTCCGAAGCTAGTCGGTATAAACACCGATTTTTAGCCGTTTTATTATTACGTAAAAAAGTTTTTACCTGCCACGGGGAATCGAACCCCCGTCCGTTGAATCGAACCCAGACGCTTTAACTACTAAGCAAATCGGCTTATTGCCACATGGAAGGAAACCTCAACGTATTTTATCTACATTGCTTTTCGAATTTTAAGCAACGCTCGGCGCATCTCTCTTTATATCCAGCAGTAGTCTCTTCTTTTTTATGTGAAAAGTTGCCAAATGAGGAGGCGGTTCACCTGACGTTAAGTGAATACCGCCGCCCATGGACATCTGCTCCTCCCGAGGGTTGCAGATGCGTTGACAACCTTTTAGAAAACGGGCAGCAGGCTGCCTCACTCTCCAGAAGAAACCCAAATATATTATACTTCCACTTCCCCGTCTTCTGTGAGGTCGTGGTACTTACCTGGACGAGCCTGCCCATTCCTACAATAGCATAGACTGTTATTTGGCTCTTCCACGCTTAATGTTAATAGATGAACTGTTGACTCATCATCTCACCTGTATTCAAAGATTTGATATTTTTTCCTTCATTGACATATATCATCATTGATTTCAGGATGACTGTGGTGTTGACGAGGCACGTCAGTGATCTCGCCACACACTTCACGCAAAGGCTTCACTCCATCACCGGGGAGGATCAGGAACGGATCAACGGTTACATCACCAACATTTTCCTCGAGGTTTGTAGTGTCATCATTTTGAGGAAGGACAGGTTGATAGCTGTAGGTCATCGCTATCTCTCATCACCCAGTCGGGTGAACTACTGGCCTTCCACTTGATTTGATGGAGCATATTCCTTGACGGTGTCTCGAAGGAATTTTTTGCACAGTAGAGCGTTATTTCACCTGGCAACTTACTTACGAACTTATGTTTTAATTAATTATGTAAACTTCGACGTATCATAAGGTCGCGCAAGCGTCAATTTGAATAAAGAATATTTTAAATTTTACTTATGGGTAAAATTGATTCAGTAGTTTCAAAAGTTAACCCTTACATAAAAAGAAACAAATTTTACCATACAAGTATATTTATAATTATAATTATTTTATACCTTAGATATGAATACCCACTTTATCGCTTTCACTTCAAAATGAAAAAAATCTCAGATTATTATTTTGTATTCGTTCACAGGCTGAGAACAGTTCCAAGTATATACAGAACGCATTCCAGTTGACCCTGCCCATCATACAAATTGGCGCTGTGTGAAGCAATATGAGTTGTTACCGTTTTCTAACAAAACTTTGTTATTAAAATATGTAGAAAAAGTACGAAAAGATTGTCGCCGCTGTGGGAATCGAACCCACGTCTTCGGCATTCGCGGCCTGACGCTCTAGCCACTAAGCTAAATGGCTATTTTAGATGCCGAAGACTTTCGAGAAAGAAGTTCGATTCCCACAGCGGCGACAATCTTTTCGTACTTTTTCTACATATTTTATTGTTCAATCTTAAGTGCAAAGATTAGCACTATAAGCAATTTAAATTTCTAAAACTTTGTTAAGCAATCTCCAAACCGTATTTGATATATCGTTCATATTTAATTGCACTGTCTTTCCCAATTAATTGTTAACTTAATTAATTGTTTCTATTTGTACATAATTTTAAAGAAAAATTAAGCCTCTACCACTTACAGATATGACCTTACAGAGCACCAGAATTTTAAACTGAAATGTTTGAGCATCTGCATAGTATACATAAAATAAATGTTAAAAGATTTCGCTCCGAAATCGAAGTAGACAGTTGTAAAGCTAAACTTAACTTTGATAAGAAAACATATGTGAGAAGGATTAATATTCTGCCTAATATAATTTACAGTTGGTGACGTTATTAATAATTGTTGGCAATGTCATATTTTATAAATATTGTGATATAATATAGAGATGCATTTTTATTTATTATTTATTGTACCCGCATTTTTTTTGCTGTGTTGTGTCATTTTATATTATTTTTTGGTTGAACAACAAAGATTGCACAGTGGCTTATTCTTTGTAAGTTGATTCATAAATCATACTGTATGACGAAATAAACATACTGCTAGCTGGTGCCAAGCATTTCTAAAAGTGCATTATGGAACGTAGATAAATGTCGACATTTTCGCGCCGTTTGGCCATCTGGCTTGGCTTAGTTGGTAAAGCGTCAGGGCGCGAAATCGGGGGTCGCAGGTTCGAATCCCGCAGTGCCGAAAGATTCATCATCATCATTTCTGCCTGTTTGAGTCCACTGCTGAACTCCCCCATGTACTGCCCCGAAGTACGATCCTGAGCCACCTGCATCCATCGACTTCCCGCAGATGTGCCGACAGATTATCTTCATTTATTTAGAGATCATCTTGAGTGCAGAGACTAGTACTCAAAATGAAAATACTAAACTCTCACCGGATTTCTGTGCGGCTGTGTTACTTCCACTGACGAACTTCTGCATAAATAATTACAACAGCAATTTCTTGTGGATAAATCGCTAGGAAATTTTCAATCGCCAGCTATTCTCGCTACGGTGTTTTTTGCATTTAAGTCTTCAAGAAACAGTAAGTATATATTAAAGACTACTGTTACTATTATATATTAGTATATATATACATGTCCCACTGCTGGGCAAAGGCCTCCTCTATACAGATGGTATCAGGGCATAGTCCACTACGCGGCCCCAATGCGGATTGGCGGACTTCACATATTTTCGAAATATATTTTTATTTCGAAAATATGCAGGTTTCCTCACGATGTTTTCCTTCACCGCGGAGCACATGATAAGTCAGCACTTAAAGTTTAAAACTTCATTGGCGCCGCCACCTGCATCCATCGACTTCCCGCAGATGTGCCGATAGATTATCTTCATTTATTTAGAGATCATCTTGAGTGCAGAGACTAGTACTCAAAATGGAAATACTAAACTCTCACCGGATTTCTGTGCGGCTGTGTTACTTCCACTGACGAGCTTCTGCATAAATAATTACAACAGCAATTTCTTGTGGATAAATCGCTAGGAAATTTTCAATCGCCAGCTATTCTCGCTACGGTGTTTTTTTTTTGCATTTAAGTCTTCAAGAAACAGTAAGTATATATTAAAGACTACTGTTACTATTATATATTAGTATATATATACATGTCCCACTGCTGGGCAAAGGCCTCCTCTATACAGATGGTATCAGGGCATAGTCCACTACGCGGCCCCAATGCGGATTGGCGGACTTCACATATTTTCGAAATATATTTTTATTTCGAAATATGCAGGTTTCCTCACGATGTTTTCCTTCACCGCGGAGCACATGATAAGTCAGCACTTAAAGTTTAAAACTTCATTGGCGCCGCCACCTGCATCCATCGACTTCCCGCAGATGTGCCGATAGATTATCTTCATTTATTTAGAGATCATCTTGAGTGCAGAGACTAGTACTCAAAATGGAAATACTAAACTCTCACCGGATTTCTGTGCAGCTGTGTTACTTCCACTGACGAGCTTCTGCATAAATAATTACAACAGCAATTTCTTGTGGATAAATCGCTAGGAAATTTTCAATCGCCAGCTATTCTCGCTACGGTGTTTTTTTGCATTTAAGTCTTCAAGAAACAGTAAGTATATATTAAAGACTACTGTTACTATTATATATTAGTATATATATACATGTCCCACTGCTGGGCAAAGGCCTCCTCTATACAGATGGTATCAGGGCATAGTCCACTACGCGGCCCCAATGCGGATTGGCGGACTTCACATATTTTCGAAATATATTTTTATTTCGAAAATATGCAGGTTTCCTCACGATGTTTTCCTTCACCGCGGAGCACATGATAAGTCAGCACTTAAAGTTTAAAACTTCATTGGCGCCGCCACCTGCATCCATCGACTTCCCGCAGATGTGCCGATAGATTATCTTCATTTATTTAGAGATCATCTTGAGTGCAGAGACTAGTACTCAAAATGAAAATACTAAACTCTCACCGGATTTCTGTGCGGCTGTGTTACTTCCACTGACGAGCTTCTGCATAAATAATTACAACAGCAATTTCTTGTGGATAAATCGCTAGGAAATTTTCAATCGCCAGCTATTCTCGCTACGGTGTTTTTTGCATTTAAGTCTTCAAGAAACAGTAAGTATATATTAAAGACTACTGTTACTATTATATATTAGTATATATATACATGTCCCACTGCTGGGCAAAGGCCTCCTCTATACAGATGGTATCAGGGCATAGTCCACTACGCGGCCCCAATGCGGATTGGCGGACTTCACATATTTTCGAAATATCATTTTTGATAAGTCAGCACTTAAAGTTACTAAACTTTTCATTGGTTACGCCGGCACCGGGATCGAACTCAGGTTTTCTCGCTACGTATTTGAAGCAGAAACATAGATATATTAAAGCATTTCCTATATATGGTTTCCCACTGTGGGCAACAAAAAATGTCAAACCGAAATTCACATTTTTTCGAAATATATTTTTATTTCGAAAACCAGGACGATGTTTTTTTTCAAAACATGCAACTTTTTAAAAAACTTCATTGGCGCCGGCACCGGGGATTAAGTATATCAGTAGATAGCATTTCCTATATTGGTTTGTAACAAAAAATGCAAACCTGAAATGCTTTTACAAACCAGGAGATGATATTTTTTACAAAATGCAATTTTCAAATTTCTACAATTAAAATCGTATTTTAAGATTATATCTGCATGTAATATTGTTCCGTATTTATTCAATATAACACAAACGCACTACCTTTGAAGCATGAAAACTGAACGTAGGTATTCAGAATTTCGACACAAAATTATAATAAGAGAATCTTAAAAAATATGTTTTTAATATTATACAAGACACAGTTGGTTCGCTCTGAAGCGGCTAGATGTATCTTTGGTTTTAAAGAAATGTATTTAAAAATCATCAAAGGTTTGAATTAGTGTTGTAGTGTAAATAGACCGCGATCGAATAAATCTCAAAATAACGTCAATCCTTCTTTCGAACAAACCTCCTGTAACCGAATTACTTTAATTTTCAATTATCTATGGGTTATACAAATGCTAACAATATTGTCCCTAATTTTCCGCAAGGAGAGCGATAATAATTTTCCATTAGCATACCATAACATAACCTTTGCAACAAGTCATAAAAAAGCATTTTTCCATTTTTTTTCTATAAAAACGAAAAAAAATCTCGCTTGTTGTATGGGAGCCTCACTTAAATATTTTTTATTCTGTTTTTTAGTATTTGTTGTTATAGCGGCAACAGAAATACATCATCTGTGAAAATTTCAACTGTCTAACTATCACGGTTCGTGAGATACAGCTACAGTAATAGGGTCCCGTTTTACCCTTTGGGTGCGGAACCCAAAAACGGCGTACACTACGACCTCGTGGCAAAATAAACGCAGAGAGCTATTAATCACAATGCAGATCGAATGCAATGGACGATTTCATCTATTCAGTTAGAAATCAGGGTGGGTAATCTTGAGCACGGTCACCTAATTTTTTTATATAGCGTATTTGAAATACTCGGCTGTAGCAAAATAGAAAAGCAGACGCACGTACTTTGCTATTAAAGCCGAGTACGGACCTCGCCGCAAGAGCACCTGTTGATTGACTAACGTAAGAACAATGTGGATACGACGGATGAAAAGCACTGTAGTGATTTAAAAATCAAAATGATTAAAGTGAAATCTGTAATTAGATATGGTTAACAAAAATAGTACTCTAGTCTCTTGGGTTGTGTCAAATTATTAGAACCGTTCTTTTTTTAGGTTTAAACCAATTGCAAACTTACTAGCAAAGCGGCATATTATATTCTTATGCTCTACCCCCTGACTCCCAACAAATTTTAAGTGCAATTTAAAGTGATGATAGATAAAAATAATTTGAGGTGTACTATGCCCCAAGAAGTACAATATTATTTCACGTTAACAATCTAATCACTTCATTCTTCAAATGAGTTTTTGTCTGCTGAGGCGAAGTGCTGTATTAGTCTTATCTTAGTTACCGTACCAAAGCAAAGGGAAATCTTCACAAGGGTCATGTGGTTAAGGATCGGCTGATGCGTATGAGACGGCAAGTGCCCCTTCCGACCGGGATCTCGCCTTATAGAGGCGTAGGGAAATTAGTAGTCGTGGCCTGGTTAGGCTAACCCCACAGCAGTGCAAAAAAGTACCCATACTGGCTGGCGGGCTGGCTGTGGTATTAGTCAGTTTTTTATGTTACAAATTGATTGGCAAACGAGCTGGCG